CTATATGATAGTTTGCTGAGTATGAAAATATAATTTTGCACAACATTCTCATTGAATTTATTTGCATTTATCTTAAGAGGTGATCTTTGCTTTTTCTCTCTCAGCACTTATGGTAAGGAAGGTGTTTTTTTTTTGTTTTTTTTCTAAACTAGTTATGTCTACCTCCTGACACTCTTACTTATTATTTTTATGATTTTTTTCTTTTCCTTAAATTAAGTACTTCCTTGTTTCTTACATCTTTAGTCTGTGAGTGAAATCTTAAGTATTTCTTATCTGAAAGCAATTACTTATTTATTTTTTCACCTACATTGTAGATAAAAATGGTTTACTTTGATCTATACACACACACGCACACTATTTTGTATATAAAATTATTGAATTAATATACACACATTTAAAATCAGCTACTTGTGTATATGCAAATTTAAACATGTATAAACATCCAGATATACAAATATGTATATACTCATGCAAGCATATACATCTAATTATATTATTTTATATAATATATATATACTAAGGCTACCAGTGCTTTTGGCAAACTTCACCATCGCTTGTGGAATGAGCAGGGTATTTGACTGGATACGAAAGTTTGGGTTTACAGAGCTGTTGTACTTGCCATCCTTTTGCATGGACTACATACAGGTACCATATATGACAGCTGGATGTTTTCCATAAAAGCTGTCTACATGCAATCTGTGGAGTTAAGCTTCAAGATAGGACATCTAATGTAGACCTGTTTAACAGCTGTAATATTGGAGGAATCAAGACTTTTCTCATACAGTCTCAGTTACGGTGGACTGGTCATGTCTTGAGAATGTCTGATGACAGGATACCCAAGATCCTAATGTATGGCCGGTTAGATCAGAGCTACAGGAATGTAGGACACCCATGGCTAAGATACAAAGACAAGCTGAAAAGCAACTTGTCAGTAGTCAATATACCACATAACATCCTTGAGCGCTTAGCCATGGAGTGGGTAGAATGGAGATCAACGTGTTTTAGTGGACTCAGCAGTTTTCAATCTGCTTGTCTGAATCATCTTCAAGAAGTGCGTGCAAGATCTAAGGTCAGCCAATCTAACATTGATCTCATCTCACAATCCTCACACTTGCTCCATATGTGGCCTCCTTTGTAAATCACTAGCGGGTCTTAAATGCCACTTCAGATTATCACACAAAATTTCATAACTGAATCAACTAACCTGTCAGATCCTCATACGTCGAAACCAATGGCAGAGTCCATTACACTCAAACACATGCACATATATAATGTTTGCATGTTTATTAAACATGAGATTATATAAAATATGGTTCATATTAAGTATAAGTTTGTGCTAACATGAAGTTAAAATTCATTGTAACTGAGGGTTTGAGCATACTCGCCTTGTTCACACTGTTGAACATGCCATATAATGAGCTGCCTCTCAGAAACTGTAACTAAGGTCTGCTCAGCATACTTGCAGTATAAATCACAGATAGGCTCTATGGGTATCGAATAAACACAAATTTGCTTGAGCAGCCATCTGCAACAGATATTGTCTAGTTGTCCTAGTAGATAGGCATACTCAGATATGAGTGGCCAGATATTGGGTATGAGTTTATATATATATATATATATATATATATATATATATATATATATTGAAAGAATGTTTGCATCTGTGCACATGTATGTTTGTATTTTTATATTTTATTTTATTTCATGATTATTTGTAAAGATAAAACATGATTAAAGGTCCTGGAAAACTGGTTGTGCAGCCTTGAATAGCTTAGCAACTAAAGAAAGGTCCGTCTAGAATGTATTCAGAAGAGGCCTTGCTGCACATAGAAACTAATGAGAAGAGGCCTTGCCACATAGAAATTTTAAATAACTGGAGAAACTAATGAGAAGAGGCCTTGCTGCACACATAGAAACTAATGAGAAGAACATAGCAACTAATGAAGAGAAGAGGGCCTTGCTGCACACATAGAAACTAATGAGAAGAGGCCTTGCTGCACACATAGAAACTAATGAGAAGAGGCCTTGCTGCACACATAGAAACTAATGAGAAGAGGCCTTGCTGCAACACATAGAAACTAACTGCACACATAGAAACTAATGAGAAGAGGCCTTGCTGCACACATAGAAACTAATGAGAAGAGGCCTTGCTGCACACATAGAAACTAATGGAGAAGACTGCACACATAGAAACTAATGAGAAGAGGCCTTCACACACATAGAAACTAATGAGAAGAGGCCTTGCTGCACACATAGAAACCAATGAGAAGAGGCCTTGCTGCACACATAGAAACTAATGAGAAGACTGCACACATAGAAACTAATGAGAAGAGGCCTTGCACACACATAGAAACTAATGAGAAGAGGCCGCACACATAGAAACTAAGAAGAGGCCTTGCTGCACACATAGAAACTAATGAGAAGAGGCTTGCTGCACACATAGAAACTAATGAGAAGAGGCCTTGCTGCACACATAGAAACTAATGAGAAGAGGCCCTGCACACATAGAAACTAATGAGAAGAGGCCTTGCTGCACACATAGAAACTAATGAGAAGAGGCCTTGCTGCACACATAGAAACTAATGAGAAGAGGCCTTGCTGCACACATAGAAACTAATGAGAAGAGGCCTTGCTGCACACATAGAAACTAATGAGAAGAGGCCTTGCTGCACACATAGAAACTAATGAGAAGAGGGCTGCACACATAGAAAGTAATGAGAAGAGGCCTTGCTGCACACATGAGAAGGGTTGCACACATAGAAAGTAATGAGAAGAGGCCTTGCTGCACACATAGAAACTAATGAGAAGAGGCCTTGCTGCACACATAGAAAGTAATGAGAAACTAGAAACGAGAAGAGGCCTTGCTGCACACATAGAAACTAATGAGAAGAGGCCTTGCTGCACACATAGAAACTAATGAGAAGAAAGGCACACATAGAAACTAATGAGAAGATTGCACACATAGAAACTAATTTTTTGCACACTGAAACTAATGAGAAGAGGCCTTGCTGCACACATAGAAACTAACGAGAAGAGGCCTTGCTGCACACATAGAAACTAACGAGAAGAGGCCTTGCTGCACACATAGAAACTAACGAGAAGAGGCCTTGCTGCACACATAGAAACTAACGAGAAGAGGCCTTGCTGCACACATAGTAACGAGAAGAGGCCTTTGCACACATAGAAACTAACGAGAAGAGGCCTTGCTGCACACATAGAAATAATGAGAAGAGGCCTTTGCACACATAGAAACTAATGAGAAGTTTGCTGCACACATAGAAAGTAATGAAAGGCCTTTACATAGAAACTAATGAGAATTTTTTGCAAAACATCTAATATCACATGGGTGAAGAGGCCTTGGTTTGCACACATAGAAATTTCTGCACACATAGAAACTAACGAGAAGAGGCCTTGCTCATAGAAACTCACCCAGCTTGTTTACAAGCTGTAAAATTTTTTGCAAAACATCAAATCACATGGGTGTGTTGGTTTTGTGAATGCTAAAATTGAATCTGAAATGCTGTGAATGAAATTGTGGAAACTGTGCAAGTACTGTCATGAAAGAAGAATTGACAGACACTTTAGAAAAGTAGAAGTGGTGCTTCAACAATTGTCAAGTCGCAGGAGGACAAAGGTGCCATCGACTTAGGTAGCCTTTTTATTTTCATTAATGTATACTTTAAAAAAAAATGCCTAAAACAGTTGTAAATTTTCATTTCAAAATTTAGTCCACATTTGAGATGTGATTTTTTTTCTTGAATAATTACTTCAACATTAATTATTTCTCTCTTGAAAATCTTAAAATGCAAAAATGATAGGAAATGTTGAGTATTTAATTCAACATTCACATTAAAAGTTTTCCTGCAAAGTTGTAGTCTTAACAGCTTACCTACAATTAATGGTTCTCTGTCAGTACAAATATTCAAGAGTTTGTTAGAATCTAGTGGTAGATTTTATAAGTATGATGCATCTGATCCTTTTGTTCTTCCATAAAATGATTTGTCTGATGACTTTTTCAAAGATATTTTTAAATTATCATCAGTTCCTCTCTGAAAAATGCTTAAATGGGTTTCATTGCATAATGTTATCAGATTCATTTAAGGTTAAGAAAAAAATATAATCATTCACAAAGTCTTTTAATTGTTATATGAGAGAATTCTTTGCTATGTCTTATGACTGTTCTGAAAGAGCAATTTTATGAAGTTTACTTTCAATATTTTTTATCATAAGTCATTATATAAATATTTTGAAATGAGGCTTAACAATTTCTTATCTGAAAAAAAAAAAAAAAATTAACCAATGGTAAAACAGTTTGGTTGGATATCCCACTCATCACTACACTTTTGCATCTCTTGATTGAGATATATATATATATATATAGGGTTAGGTAAATGAGATAACTAGATATTAGCGACCATATACATGTGTGCTGGTGTGCAAATGCTGGTAAGCAAATAAATAATTACCAAATTTAGCCAGGAGGTGTAGACATAAGTGCTCAATGTGATTAGACAGAGCTAAGAAATATATATTAATAAATACACGTAAACCTACGTTTGATGTGCAACTCAAATTTTGTTGGTTACCCAGTTCATTGGACATGAGTGTGTATTTATTAACATATATAGTCTTTTTTATTTTCTTTACTCTTTAAGTATATATTCTTTCCATAACTCAAGCCCAAGGACTAACTTGTGTTTTATCTATCTCAGTCTGATGTTTTTGAACGTATCTTCTATTATACAAAGAAATATTTTCATCCAAAAATGCCTTCCCTGAAGCTTTTGCTATGAATAAGGACTAATTTTCAGATTGTTTATTGAATTCATATTTATTGTCATTGGATGTTGTTTTGCTCATTATCTTTAAAAAAGACAAAATTTTTGAAACACTACAAAATTACAAATGTTGATAAAGAATAAATAAAGCGCAAGTTGATTGTGTATGATTGTTAATTGTAAACAAATTGGCAAAAATCACAGGACTGTATTGCACTAATCATGCAATGTGCCACTTTAGGCACATCTATCATAAGTTGGCCATACTCATGTTAGACAATGAGAAATAAAGTTTTCTTAATCATGGTTCAGTTTTACATAGTCAAAAAGCTAAAACCAAAAATATTTTTTATCTTTTTATATTATACATACTATTTAATGAAACACAAAATCTATCTTTTATCTATCCATAAAAATCTTGGATTATTGTCTTACTTTTCATTAAATTCAGTTTGTCATTTGGTTGAATGTTTCATGATTTTGACTGACTTTGACTTCTTCTCTTTCATCATAAGGAACTTTGGTTCCAGCAATGCAAGGTGACCTTGCTAGTTAACAATATTTTCACTCTATTTGTTATTTATAATTTCAATTACATATATCAGCAGAAATTCATCTTTTTTCTTTTTTTGCTTTTAAAGCATTATTATAAATACACACACACACAGACACACACACACATATATATATATATATATATATATATATAAAAAGAGAATGACAGTTTCTTTGTGTATATTTTTGTGTAAATATATGTATTTGTTGAGTTAATCATATGCATATATGTTCTATTGAATCCTGGGTCCCAGTGTCAGAATATATGCAACTCCTTTATCTCTTCATCTACACAAAAGAGAAAAAAAAAAGAATTCTTCAATACACAAAGTCTAGGAAAAATAAATCACTCTTTTGCATTTTCTTCCATGACCAGTATAATTCAAATATCATATTTGTTTTTGTTGCTTTTTTTTTAATATTTATTTTTGCTCTTTATTTTAAGAACATCTGAGTCATGTGACACATTTCTTTCCTCCATTTTTGGAGATTCAGAGAAAAACAAAAAAAAAGGCATAAAAAAATCCAATATTTCTTTTTGGTTCCAATAAATGCTACAGTCACAGCTTTCAGGAGTAATTTGTCTTAGATTCTAGTTATCCCATTTCCTTTATGTTCCATGAAATTTAATAAATCTAGCCTAGCCTTCAGCTACCATCATCTTTCTTACCTTCTTCTCTCTTCACCCGCCAACCATCCCCTACTACTTTCATAGCATTTTATTCACTCATTCATTCTTGTAATGTCTGCTACTGCTGCTCTATGCTACCTTAATTCCAACCTCATCAGACTTTTCAAAAATTCATCATTTTTAATATATTTATATATGTAGCTTTATAGATAATAATATATAACATATATATATTGTGTGTTTTAAGTTTATGTGTCTATATGCATGTTCAGTTGACTCTCACACAGACCTTGATGTATACCTGACATATCATTTGAGGATTTCATACATACATACATAGATATATGGGAGTCGAAAAGTTCTTGGAACAATCTACTTTCCAGAATCTGATATTTGATTATTGAAATATTAGTTTTGTAAAGTTAATCAGGATGAGAATTTTCAGCATCCCCTTTCCTTGTTTGTTTTATATATATATATATATATATATATATATATATATATAATACCACACTGTTGTACCAAATGGTGAAAAACAAAATGTGTATTTATTATTAGTGTGTGTGTATATATATATATATATATATATATATATATATATACTCACATAGTATTTATATGTATAAAACTGTCACTCTTTCATTGAAATGTGTGCTTATGTATGCAATTGGTCTGTTGTATTTACCCTATGTATATTGCATTTAATATCATTTATAAATATAGATACAAATTTCAAATAGATATTTATTCTTATAATTCATTGTTCCTCCCCATTTTTCTTCTTTTTCATCCATTACATCCAAAAACTTTTTAAATTGTCATTTTTTTCAACATTCAATGATTTTTGTATTTTTCACTCAGTCTATTTTTTATTCATTCACTGACCCCATATTTTATCAACCATTTTTTTAAAAAAAGTCTCTTGTCTTTTCATTTCCTTTCCATCAATATGGACAGATCCTAACCAATTTATTTCCTGTTTTGCACTTTGGATTTTTATTTAGTGTTTTTAACTTTTTCTCTTTTTCTCCATTTGTTTTCTCCATTTTTTATTTTCCTTTCTTCTTATATTCTTAACTTTCCAATTGTTTCTTTCTTTACTCTTTTTTTCTTCCTCTTTCTCTCTTTCTTAATTTTTCTCTTTGCTTTTTTTTTTGTCCTCCTTTGTATTCTTTATTCTATTCCATCCTATTCTATTACACTTTCCTTGCACAACTTTCTCTACATTACAGTATCTGCTTTTCTTTCCATCATTTCACTCCTCCTTCTTGCCTATTTCACTCTCTCTCCCCCCCCTTTCTTTCTCCTTACTCTTACATTTTTACTTTCTCTTTCCTTTAATATCTTTCTTGTTCTTCACCATCTTTCATACTCCCCATTCTCCAATTATACTTTCTTTTGTTCATCCTTTTTCCTAATTGCTCTCTTTCTTTAGTCATAGTCTCTCCTTTCCTATTTCCCTTTCTTGTTGCTCTCTCAAAATATAATTTCTCTTCTTTATCTCCAACATTTCACTGTCTTCTCTCCTATTCTCATTTGCTTTGATATTGGTTTTTCTCTGTCCACTCCATTATGTTTTTCTTTATCCTTCTCGGTTATTTCCACTCTTTCTTTACCTTCTCTCTTTGTAATTCATTTTTCTCATACTTTCATCTTCACTTTCTTTCACTGTCCTCCTCCTCTTTTTCTTTCACTATCCTTCTTCTCTCCTCTTTTTTGCACTATCCTCCTTCTTTCCTCTTTTCATTTTCTACTTTGTTTTATCTTTACTTTCCTTTGTTTTATTTTAACTTTTCTCTTTTTTTTTATATTACTGCTCTTTTTTATTTCCATTATTTAAATTTTTCTCTTTCAGTTGAAATGCTGCCATTGTTTTTAGGATTTTGCTGTATTTTAAAAAAATTATTTTTGATGTTCATTTTGCTTGAATTTTATCTTGTCAAACAGCATAACTTGAATCTGTAGATCTTGTGAGTGCCTTTCCTTAGAGCAGGGAACTTCCATCAATGCAATGTACAGACTGATCCTCACTAATATGGCATCATTAATATTGAGATGATGTCAGATTAGGGATTTTTGCCAGGTTGTTAAGCTTAGGTGAACATCTTAGTTTGATTCGTTGACATTGGATAATAAAAGCAATCTCATTTAACTAACATAAGCTTCTTACACACAGCTCTTTTTTCCAGATCAACTTTATCTGTTGTGGACAAGTTATATCACAAGAAGCACTTTATTCATTGCCAGTGGTACAGCAGTAGGGGTTCTAAATATGAACATGTTGCTATTAGCTTTATAAAATAGACAAAAACCAATTGGAATGTCTGTTTTCATATTTGTTCCAACAGCTGATCTTTTTCATTTTTTCTGGCACCAAAACTAGAGTTACATTAGAGCAAAGATGAAGTTGAGTCAATATGACTGTTGAAACAAGTTTTGATATGAATATTGATCAATACATACAAGTGGAACAAAATACAGACATTCTACTTCTCTATTAACAGTCTGCAAATTATTAGAGAATATCTGTGTTCTTTATTGAAGTTTAATCTTGGTAGAATGTATTTGCATAAAGTTTTCAGATACTTGCATTTTGAGGTATTTATACCTTTTTTCTTAAATAAATGTTAATCAACCAATCAAGTGGGTACATTTGGATGACAATCACTTATATGAAGGATTTCTGTCATATGAATTTCAGATTTTACTTATCAGCTATTTAGGAATATGTCAATTAAAATACTTTGCTGGTTTATAGCAGGTTACTGGGTATGTGAAATACTTCAGCAAATTCAGGGCTGTGTGAATATTACACAAAACAGCACCTACAAATACAAGCATCCAACTTCTTGCAGGTTTGTGATGATATACAACTCTATTAAGTTGATAGTGGTAACTGAATGACAAAATGGAAAAAAAATCCTGTGTTACATGCTTTGTCTTTCAAAAGAACGTCTTCAGAATAATATGATGGAATATGTAGGGGGAGGAAACAAAATACAACAGATGCTGGGTCTACATCAAGGAATGCTGAAGATACACAGATGTTTAGCTTTAAATTTATATCTTCATGATTTCTTAATGTAGAATTATAAAACAGCATTTGTTGGATTTCATTCCTTCCATTTACATAGTTTGAAGAAATCCTTTTAAAGGGTAGATTTTGTGTAACACAGGATTTTTCTCCTATTTTCTTATTCCATTACTCTTACTACATGTATAATTTGTTTAGTTATAAATTTTTGATTACTAAATATCATTCAGAAATCCTCATATCATTCCTATATTGTTCATAAGACTGAAATTATTCTAAGCACCTTGGAGAAAATGTTTGCAGACACAAATATTGACTCTTGAGAACTGAGGTAATAGAAAAGTTTGTATTTTTAAACAGATGAAGGTTTTGGAGAGTCCTGGAGTATTGTTGGGTTTTACTGTTTCAAATGGTTTTTACATAACAAACATTCTGAAATAAGATTCATATACCCCCCCGCACAATGTATGAAAAGTCATGCATTCAAAAAAAAAAAAATACATGAAAGGTGCGATATAATTTACTAGCAGTAGAGTCCAGCGTGGACCGGGGATGTAACAGTAAGAGATAGATCAAGTATCAACCATCATAAAGACTGAAAAATAAAATTGACAAAGATTATTGTTTAAGGTTGACAGACACGCATGTCTTAATTAGTTTTTTTTTGTTTTGTTTTTTTGTTTTTTTTACAAATTGGTCAAACACAAACTCAAACAAAAACATTGTTTTCAATCACTATGAGTCTACCGATTGAATAGAATTTTATTATAAACAATTGCCTTGTAAATGGAATTTTTAAAGCATTCTGAATGTAAAAATAAAGAAAAAAGTGTGCAAGAGAATAAGAAACACTACCTGCCAAAAAAAAGTGAAGTTTTGTTGAAATCGGTTGAAAAATGTAGGAAATCCGATCCCATATATAAAGGAACACACACACACACACACACACACACACACACACACACAAACAATCTGGGTTTTATAAGAATAACTCGATATGAGTTGTCCCCCTTTCATTCTCGTGATGTCTCTTAATCATATTTTCAAATTGATTTTGTGCAAAAACAATTGTGTTTTTCCAATATATAAACGTAGACACACACACACACACACACACACACACAATCTGTGTTTTATAATAAGTAAGATTTCAACTATTTTCCCTATGCAAAAAATGAAATTTAATTCAACATTAGTGATTAACAAGTCTCAGAATTTGAAGAACAAAAATAAATCAAATCAAAAAAAAAAATTGTACCAACCTGAACCTCAAATAAAACAAAAATATACTATAAGGGAGATAATTTATTGTCTGTGACGTAAAAATTGTTTGAAAATCTGACTATACCTGAGGTGTTTAAATACATAATGCATGATTTGAAATAGCATTATCATCAGGCTTTTTTCACTCCTGAAGTAGAAAGCCCCACCACCAGTTGTCTTATCCCACAGATGTTTTGGATTGAGCAGTGCCATACTCGCCATGTTTGGCCTGCAGGTTTGTTAGGGAGTGTGCTTTTGTCGGCTACCTTCCATTAACTGTTGAAATATATATGAGTGTAATTTCATGCAATTATTATTACCTAACTTGTTATTTCATAAAAATTATTAATGTGTGAGAAAATTTTCACAAACACATCCAAGGAGAATGAACTTAGAAGACAATTAGAAATGGTCAGATATTTTCTTTTGCTATTCAGAACTAATTTCTTTTTATTGAAATAGATTTTTTATGCTTTTGTAACTGAAAGTAGAAAGTTTTATTCAAATTTGTTTTGTATTTTTCTACGTATTTACCCAATATATAACATCCATCTTCCTGTCTGCAAGATATTTGCATTCTCAGACAAATGACTCGTATGTTTAGAAGGTAATCATCAGCTTTTCACATTTTTTGTATTTCGGTTGACCACCCATTTTGCTTGAGAGTGTGAGCACTAGGCCCACATGATTTTGTTTTCTCTCTCTTTCTTTCTACACATCTACGCTTGCAACAGTAGAAGATTAACATGCTTTCAGGTTAGCCCATAAGGTTGTGTGTGTGTGTATATATATATATATATATATATATATATATATATATATATGAGAGAGAGTGATGTGTGCACACATCTGAAGATACTTATATGCACATCTCATATTAATTTTCTAAAATCTATATACATATATATAATCCTGGGTAGAGGTTGCTGAGATGTTCTTGACCTGACCAAGAAACCCTTCCCAAATTTTTTCTTGTTATTCCTTTGGTTAGATAAAAGAAATCACTTTTCAGTAATCTCTCATATATATATATGTATGTGTGTGTATATATATATATATATATACACACACACACAGTCAGATTTTATTATGCATGTCAATATTTTCACAATAAAATTAGTATTATTGAATAGATGTTGGTAAAATTTTCCTGGTATATTTATATAGGCAATATATCATATGATTTGAAACTTATACAATTATTTTCATTTACGTCTCTTTTAAAGATGGACCATAACTTTTTTATTAGACTAATGTTTGCAGTGATGTGAGGTCTTTGAAGCCTTTGGCATGGTGGGCAATAATTAGCTTTTCAGAATGTGAAAGTGCATTGTCTTGAATAAATGAAGTCTTTAGCCTAAACTCTTTTGGCTGACATGCACAACTCCAAAAGATCTTTCACTTAGTTTGTCTTGACATAATTTTAAAGTGATCTATAATTTTACTACCTACAATATGATGTTAATGCATTATTACACTTTCCTCCTATATTCTTCTAAGTAATGTTGGTTGACTGCTCCTATAAAGGACCTTACCCCTTGCCCAGCTGTCAGGTTCATTCAATGTAGCTCCAGATTAATCACTGAAAATTACCGAAACCCATTTTCATATACTTATTTGCCTAACTTAAACATTTCTCTTTTTTTCTTAAAAGTGATATTTTGGTTACTTTCATATCTTTAGCTAATTTTCTTAACCTTTACAACTCTGCATTAACTTTTGGAGTTGTCTGCTTGATCCACATTAATTTTGGGTGTGCTAAGTTTTTGAATGGTGGGTATGTAACTGTTAGGGTTTTAGAGAGATTGTTATAAAATTTTTAGGGTATTTGTATGAAAGGATATAAAAAAATGTAGATGAATTTTTTTTTACTGTATAAAAAAACATGAAAACTAAAAAAAGTTTGTATTTTATTAAGAAGTTTACTTGTTAATTGTGTAATCCAGGCCCACAATCCAATTTGTAGTTAACCAAATATGATAGCATTCAAATCATGAGTAGGGACACATAGGAACCTGACAGTGCTGGCACACATTGGTAGTTTGGTGCCTCTTTTTGTCCCTACTGGAGCACACCACACAGTCAGGCACAGAAGGCTTTTCAGTGCTGACTCACTTGGGATTTATCGTGATGTAGTGCTTGCCCATATCCAACCTATCTGGAGTGTCACTGAGGCACCTTCCTCAAGGAGAGGTTACAGTTGGCTGATACCCTTCAAGAAGTTCATGCACTATCTTCAAGCAGAATTTATCAACTGTTGTTTGACTGTGGTGTAATGCCCTCCAAATCACCCAAGAATTATAAAAGCAGCCTTCAAATAAGTTAAAAAAAGCTTTCTTGTGTTCAGCAATAAAAAAAAAAGTTAGCATGACCTAAACATGGTCCTGATGGTGCTTCAACCTAACTTCCTTCCTGGAAGTCTTGATCAGAGTGGCAGGTAGCAAGTAAGTTGACCGGCCA